AAATCAATTTCCTCCTTTTTTATTATTTCGTTTCACTTTTCTTGAATATAGATATAAATTTTTTTTGGGTGTAAATCGATTCAGTAATTTTTAAAAATCAACAAACTGGTTTTATTAAGGGCACCCTTTAAACCCCCATTTGACTCCCAAATAATTGTTATGTTCAGAACAAAAAAATACGAATACCTATATTTTTAAAGATCTCTATACTGTATTATTTTAGCAGCACTCTTTATCACCTTGTATAGAAAGGTCAAATGAAAATATAAATACAAATTTAAAGAAGGTACTTTCTTTAGGGTGACACCGTAAAATGGTAGGTACTTACCAAAATGGTATACCCAAAATGTTACAACGAAAGTGGTAGGTAACTAAAATGGTTCACGCTTAAAATGGTTTACAACTAAAATAGTATGCCACTAAAATAATACATGTTAAAAATGGTACATTTTAAATCGTTTATTTAACGCTTTAAAAAATCAAAATTATAGGTGTTCCATTTTGGTAAATATAACAATTATATCATGGGTTCAGTATAGGATATTTAAACATTGAACATAATTATTTTGAGCACGTACGCCACTGTTGTGATATTGGTGCGTCTACATCTTGACTCAATCTAGCTATAATTACAAATCCGGACCCCAAAGTTGGACGATTTAAGCGAATCACCTGTTTTAGTGCCCCCTAAGAGTCGTTTTACTGCCCAGGACCATCGTCTTGTACCTTTCGTTGGATTTGGATTGTATGTAAAAGCAGTAATGCCTGTAATTCCGTCTGGTCGCAGTGAGTGAGAGTCGCAAAAGTCCACGTGGACATTAACTTTTTGATATATCGGTTATAGTTATACCTAGTTGGTTCGAAGTAAGCTCGTAAACGTTGAATTAAATTTAGTTGTAAATTTCACTGGGGCGGATCTGACGGGTAATTGTAAGGACAGATGATTATAAGTTTTGGAAACGTTTTGAATTATTAATATCAATCCAAGACTTTCTGAATATTTTACTTATGTATTTCTTATGACAATATATGTTATTTTGGGGTGTATTGTACTTTACTATTCACTGATAAATATTTTCCTTCAAAATACAGATACTCTGTTTAGTGTAATAAATAATTTTGGGATCTAGTTCCTTTTTTTTTTCTGAAACTTCTTTTTTCAGTGGTGTCTTTGGCTTCGACAATTCAGGTTTTTAGCATCGTGTTCTGTGTAGGTTATGGAATATTACTACTTTAATACTTCATAGTGTAGGCATTAGCAGTGTTAATTAGAGCACAGTACATCAGAAGGGTTTTACTGAGGAGTATATATTAAGTTTTTGGAAAATTATAATTTGTCCGATATCAATGTTTTGTCTGTTGATGAAAAATGGACACATCATGAAAGTAATGATATTGTAAACGTTATGGATGTGGATAACACAGTGAGTGATGTTGATTCTGACAGTGACAAAAGACAAATTAAAACTGATCAAGATGCAGCAACAAAAGCCATCGTTAAGGATAAAAAGGAAGACAAATTGAAGTTTTGAAGGTGGGTGGCTTAGTGGTAGAGTCTCTGCATGTGGATCCAAGGGTCCCAGGTTCGAATCCCACCGTTGGCAGGGATTTTTTTATTTAAATATTTAAAATTAATTCTAATGCCTTGGTAGGATTCCACACTCGACCATTCACTGTTGGGTTCTAATTAACAGTGCTGTCACTGAAGTGGCGCTGGGAAACAGAAACAATGCCTACACAGAACACACATGTTTGAGAATTTAAACACAAACTTGAGACTGGCATATTAGGTATATAGGCCATAAATCGAAAAAAAAAAAAATTGAAGTTTCTTAAAATGCTGAAAATAGAAACTGTTGCCAGGCATTTTGTTTTCGTAATAATTTTTTTTAGCAAATTTAATTTTCAAATGGAGTTCATCTTCCCTACACAAGGACATGTCAAAAAATTGTGATGCGGATATTTTTTCTTTTGCAAAATTTTGATATAATATGCTAAATACACTCTTTAAAACGATTTTTCTGTGTTCCACTGAAAAGGTTAAATTTATTAGACCAATTGTGTTATTTTAAACATGGACTCTTGGATTCGGAAGTCCAGACTCTAACCACTATTCTACCCATTTCACGGATTTCGAAATTAATGCATAAATGAAAAGTTTTTCTCAAAATTTACAGCGCAGCACGAAATCGTTGCAAAACTAACAGTAGAAAATAACGCATACATAATTTTACAAATAACTAAGAAGAAACTATGAACACAAACCAAAAGTCAAAGTCAACAACAAAATCAAGATTAGACAGAACAATCAGAATAACCAAAAATATATTTACACATCAAATTTTTGGTTGTTTCTCCAGTAATACATCTAGTGTTTTGAGTAAGTAACATAAGAAATATCAGTTGTCGGTTTTGACCTTGGCTTTGTATAAAAGATGGGAACCGAACTTTAATTGCATATATTCGTGATTTCGTGTGGAATATCTTCTTTTTCCACACTTTCTTTGATTTTCTTCTTGGTTTCGATCATGTTATTTCTATGATCTTTCTCCAAACTGCCATTTATTATGTTTTCTTCACTTTCGTGTGATGCATTCTTCCACTCCGTTTCTATATTTATTGTGTCTGGTTTCACTGTGTAGTCGATGGTATTAAAAAAAAAACAAAATTGATTCTATAGGTACAAAACATAGTAAGTACATGGTGTTTTGAATAAAAACAATTCGGCAAAGTGTAAGTAGTACTTATTTTTTTAATCTAAGGTAGAGATGATACGTTGATAGATTTAGGCTAGACGCTAATACAATGTATTCCTGATAATTTTTGTTCTTACTTTATTCTAATTGGTTGTGATTTTTAAATAATGCAAACGAACGAATTATATATTTTTGAAATAGTGCTTCAAAGAGCTTTCATTTAATACTTCCCATGATGACTTTATAATTTTTTTGCAAACTTCAATTTCAACCCTTACAAATCTACTTTTTTAGTTGGCGCCTCTGTTTGGGCTACTACTTATTAAAATTGATTCAAATTTCAACTGTGTCACCTTCGATATTCCTTAATTTTTAACTGGCCACGGCTGGTTTATGAAATATCTGCATAGACTTGGTGTTAGCGAGAATCCAGAATGCATGTACTGTTTGATGATGTATATAAGGTAGAGTAATACTCTGCTCCACTACAAAGAATTGAGAGAAGGCACGCATGTGAGGAAAATATTAGAAGATCACTTTATGAAGAGAATATCTTTTAGACATCGTGACCAGCAAAAAAGAGCATCGGCAAATGATAAGGGATTTGACGAAAAAGATCCAAGAAGAGTCAAAAGGAAAGATATTTTACAAGAAGGAACAGCTGATTATACCTTAGCAACATTTTTCTAAGTAATCTGCGATTATCCATACTATACCTTCTCATCTCATCTCTAGGTATTTGTTAGAATTGTGATGCGGAATGATATCATTGTCTATTGTTATTTGTTTTGGTTCATTTTGTCGAAGAGTAAAATCAACATGCACTAATTTAGTTTGATTTATTTTTATTTTCCACTTTTTTGTCCATCGATTGATTCTGTTGCAGGTTTCCTGGAGTTTTTCAGAGGTCTTTATATTGGTTCGGCCAACAGCCAATATTGCAGTGTTGTTAAGGGATATCGTTGGACTATAATAAGTAAAGGATCGGTTCTAGTACACTACCCTGTGAAACACCTGCTTTAATTTCTTCCCTTGTTCAAGTTTAAAACATTCTTCCTGTTAGATATAATTGAAGAATGTCGACACATTGTCTAGAGTGCATTTTTTCAAGTTGCTGTATCAGGCCAGTATCCAAACTTCTCAAATACTTGGGCTACGTCAAGAAATATAGCTGAGCATATACATTTTTCTTCGTATGAAATGACAATGAACTCTATTAAGATGAATTTGTTCGTTGTTGATATAGTATATTACCTAACAAGTGTGGAAAGTGATATATTACGCACGAGTGCGGAAACGTAACGAGTGCAAGGAATACACTTAACGAGTTATGTACACTATTTTTCCTTCGACCCCAACATTTTTTTTCTTCATAAATTTTTAATTTTATTAAATAATGATTATTTTATAAATCTTATAAAATAATCATTAGACATGTATAATTTTAGGGTTTAATTGAGGTTTTAGAATTTTAAATAAATATTTTTCTATTGAAAATAAATCTATCTACAAACAGATATTAACAATTTAATTATATTACTATAAAATCTATTTCTAACCTTAAAACTAAAAAAATAAACAGCATTTTTTTAATTTTTGTTATGTGATCATAAAAATTAAATGTAAAATGATTATTGGAACAGTTGTGTAAATTTATTGGTGTTTGAGAAACATTATGTGATAATAAAGTATTTTGGATATTTTTTCAACGTTTAAGTCGTGCAATTCTGTACTATTTCCTATCTTATTTGAGTATGTTTCCTCTTAAACCAGATTTCTTTCTGTTGCTGTTGAAGTTGAAGGATCTGTTATTGCCCCAACTATTTTCTCTGATATTTTCTTTAGTTTTGCTTGACTCTTCGATGTAACCTTCTGCAACATTTGAAGACTTCCAGCCTCCATGCCGCTACAAAGAGGTGATGTCTTCACCTGAGTCGACTAGTATTGTTGCAGACACAAATTTGGGTTTTTTAATTTTAAAAATTTCGCTACTTCTCGTGGTACACTGCCAATTTTATTTATTCCAACTACTTGTCTGATGCATTTTGTTTTTTGGCCTTAAATTAAAGTATTTTTTAAATATCCCATAAAAATTGTCAGTAGTGTAAATTTTCTAGTTGCTTTGTTTTTGGCATTTTTCAACGTAATTATTGCTGCACTTCCCAAGTCATTTATAGCATCAACAGTTAGTTGTTTTAGTTTCTGTTTACGGCACAAAACCTAATATTCCTGTACGTAGCACAATTTTTATTTTAATTTGAAGTTTTCTGGTCTACTTAGATGTAATTTTTAAATATAACTTACCTGAATGTCGGGTTGCGGTCAGTTTATTTATCCCATTTTTACTTAAATTTTCACACAAAAAGTGCCACTTATTGAGAAGTTTTGAAATAGTTTTTATAAACACATTAACAATTTAAAACATAACCTGAACATATTTCTAAATAGTATTTATATACATTTTCAAACCATTGATCAGCTGACATCGACTGTATAACTGGTTGCATAGTTTTAGTTTATGAGGAGCTAACAAAACTTTTTAGATACATACACAAATAAGTAATTTAAGAAGTAAATTATTAATTCTTGTAAAGTCTAATAATTTTTTGAACAAATCGAATAAACCAAAATAATCTATTCAGATAAATTATTAATTTCTTTTGCATTATTATGACTTAAATCGTTACTGTGCGTTTTTAAAAAACATCACACACGTGTGTAACATGCCTTCTTCTTTTCGTCTTTTACCGATCGCATATGATCTTTCGCATTTTCGAAGTGTCAAAACAGTGCGTTAACTGACATTTTCATAGGGGCCGTAGGAAAAATAAACTTCCTATCTTATACTTGGTTTGAATTATAAATTCATTTATATACAAAAGTTTTTATTTCCCTTCTTTACAATTTTTATAGTTATAATTTCTATATAACTTTCTGTTCATAACTCTAACAGAACATAATTGGCAGAAAATTAATTTTATTGAATCGTTTCCCCCGAACCCCAGAGATTTGATTCGAAGTCACGATCGCTATCCCATTTCATTTCCTTTGAGGATATACAGGAAATTATAGAAAATTCGAAATCAATACGCCATAATATACCTAGTAGATATATTTTTACAAAATTACTAAATTAATTTTCTTTTGTGGCGTGCGCAAATTACGAAAACATCCCGTGTCAATAATTACGCGATGGATTGGATGGTGGTGGCGCTTTTTGATTTCAAATAATAGAATGATTGTGTAGGTAGTTATGTTTCGGGAGCTAACCACCAAATGCGTATATTTATTTAATTTTTACAATAATTCAATTTTTTGATTCTTTACTATTTTGTTAGTGATCTACATGCCAATTCTGAATCATACATTTGCAATTGACTAAGTAAGTTACTTAGACACGATCAGTCGCTATTACAGAAAACAGCTAAGAATTTTTGGCATTAAAGATTATGTTATAAAGAATTACAGAAAATGATTTCCCATACAAAGAAGGCATTTTTATTTACCTTAGAAATTTTATTTAAAAAAATATGAAAGTTGCATAAGTTAAAGAATCTATTAGATGTGTCTGTATTTAAATATAAGTATTACTGTCAAAACTTGACCTTAAGATCTAAAATTACTTTGTTAGAACGTAGATAAAAGTATATAGTTTAGTTTATGAGTTTAGAAAAAAGATATAATAAAACTGTCACATATATATTGTCAGATATATTTATGTATTGTCTGTTTTAAATAAAATTGATTTACATTTAACTCGTTCTACTACTTTTCCAACAAATGGTTATGGGCCCAGGCCAGTAGAGTTGTTAAAAAATAAGTAAAAACATTTAATTCAAATATGGCAAGCAGTGAATCGAGCTCCGCAACGGCAGCCGTAGAAAAACTTAAGGACAGGGAAAATTAAAGCGACTGGAAATTTCAAATGGCTGCATTACTGAAACATAATGGTCTCTGGTAATGTATTTCTAGGTATCCTGCTAGTGATACAACTGAAATTGCATTGAGAACACGTCGTCAGAGAAAGCTCTTTCAAAAATAATACTTTTTCTAGATAAATCAACATATCCACACGTTATGCAGGCGAATACAGCTACTGAAGCCTGGAAAGCCCTAGAAAAAGCATTTTAAGCTGAATAATTTCACCGTCGTTTACTATTAGGCATTCCAAACAAAATGGCTACCAGTGGGTTTTGACAGATTATGATATAGCAAAATTATGGCAATCCTGCAGGCCTGGTAAGCCTATGTCTTGAAGTAAAAGTGTAGTTAATTATTTTTCCTACGACCACTTAGGAAAGTGACACATATCACACTATATAGACCTATGGAAAGTGCCCTATATCACACGCGTATGAATAAGAATTTACTTTCCACCCAAGTGAGAATATGCTACTTTCCGCAGTAGCTGTCAGAAAATGTCAAACACATAATTTCTATTTTGATCTATGTAATGTCCATATTAATACTAAAATCGATATGATTGTTAAATTATTGTAAATTAGATCCTAGATATTTATCTTTAACAATTATTTTTAAAATAATTTTAAAATAACTAAGATATATTTGCTTTTTATTCTGGTTAAACACATAAGCGATTAGATCAATCAATTACCGTAAGGCCTGTTAGCTCAGTTGGTTAGAGCATCAACTTTGCAATTTGAGACCGTCCAACGACCGCGATCGAATCCTGGCTGTGCCAGATTTTTTTTTTTATTTTTTTTTTTATTTTTTTTTATTTGTTTAGAAATTATGAAAATTTAATAAATACGATTATTGTTGATTATTTTTTTAAATACATTTTAATTATTATAATAATCTGGTTTTACATTTTTTGATGAAATTATTTTGTGGTCGTAGGAAAAATATTGTACATCACTTGTGTGAAAAGTGATTTTCCACACTCGTGTGATAGTCGCACTCGGCTTACGCCTCGTGCGACAATATTTCCCACTCGTGTGAAAAATGTCACTTTCCACACTCGTAATGTAATATACTATTTTTAATATATGTCAGCAATTTGACAAGTCGTTGGAATGCCTAATTACTGAGAAGTTTATATTCAGTAAAACTTCAATACAATGGAAGAGTCGTACACGAAGTCATGAGTTTAGCTCAGAAACTATCTTCAATTGATAAACCAGTTGATGACGAATTCTTGGGTGCAATTGTGTACAAGGTCTATCTAATGAATATGAACCGATGGTAATGGCTTTAGAAAATTTGAGAACAGACATAACATTTTGTTAAAACTAAATTATTACAAGAGCAAAACTCGTAGAATGACCGCCACAGTGCTGAAAATTCCGCTCTTGCAACAAAGAAATTTAACAAGAAACCATATTGTTGGCTTTGTAAACAAAAAGGACACTATAAAAATCAATGTCCTCAACAAAACAAACCTCAAATGCACAAGGCTTAGACAATAAGAATAATAATACAAATGGACGTGGATCTACTCTCATTGCTGCTCTTGCGATAAATATACAAAGAGAATTGTTAATTGATCTATCAAATATTCATTCTGGCCAACAAGTTATTGTAGCCAATAATACAAAATTAAACGTTGAAGGAGTGGATAATTCAAGAGTTACCTTCAAAACAGATGGAACTAGTAAAATTATTTCTGGTGTAAAGTTTGTACCAACTTATCAGTAAATTTATTGTCTGTTAATGCCCTCATATCCAGAGAATATCCAGAGAAGATTGTCTTATTGAAGGAAAACCATTTGCTACTGCCTCAAATACCAATGGATTGTTCAAGCTTGACACGCTGGATGACGTGGTAAATATTGTTAAAACCACTGACTCATAAATAATGGCACAAAAGGCTAGGTCATCTCAACCACTACAGCAGGGGTTCCCAAACTTTTTCAATTCGCGGCTCCCTTACAAGTCTTTCTGGCGGCGAGCTTCTAAAAAAAATTCCTCTTCTGCTTTTATGACCCACGCAAGCAGCAGGATTTGAATTGTTTATTTTGTAGCCGCGAAGCGTATACCTAAGTTTAGTGTTTAGTTTCCTCACGGCTCCCCTATTTACCCTATACGGCCCCCCGGGGAGCCGCGGCGCACACTTTGGGAACCACTGCACTACAGCAAGAGTCTTTTAAGATATGGACTTGCAATTGGTATAAATTATAAGGATTCAAAAACTCCCACTTATTGTTAAAGTTGTATCAAAGGTAAACATGCCAGAAAGCCTTTTCCATATAACAAAATAAAGGTTGTAGCTAATAATAAACTAGATCTGATACATTCTGACCTCGTTGGACCCATGGAGGTAGAATCTTAGGGTAGTGCAAGATTTATGTTTACTCTTATAGATGATTACTCAAGAAAAAATTTCTGGTATTTTTTGAAAACGAAAAGCCAAGTAGCAGATATTTTTGAAAAATTTTGTGTTTTTGTGGAAACTCAGACTGAAAAGAATATAAAGGTTTTGAGGACAGACAATGGAGGTGAGTATTGCAACAAACCATTAGATAGATTTTTAAAAGAACGTGGTATAAGATAAGAACTTAGCATACCGTATTGTCCACAACAAAATGGTGTGGCAGAACGGTATAATCGTACTATTTTTGAAAAAGTTCGTTCCATAATGACTAAATATAGTTCTGAAAAAGAAATGTGGACTGAAGCGGCCAACACTGTAGTGTATTTGAGTAACTAAGAAAATTCGTGGTGCAACTCCGGAAGAAATATGGAGCGGAAAAAAGATCTGTTTAAGTCACCTGAAGATATTTGGATGCCGTGCCTACGCCCACATACCCGAAATAAAAAGGAACAAGCTAGACGAGAAGAGTAAACAATACATATTCGTTGGTTACTCCGAGTCCACAGTTGGTTATATACTATTAGATCCTGTAGGTCATCGTCATTTTCATGGAAGAGGATTATAGTGATCGTCCGAAGTGTTCAGGTACTGTGAAGTTAAACTTATCTTCGCTTGAAGAAGATGATGAAGACGAACCGATCGTAAACGATGAAATTTCGTCGGAACCGTCTACTAGCATTTGCGGGTAAAAGGAAACTGTAACACCTGGACAAATTGAGTCAGATTTTTTTCGTACATCTGAAATGACTTCAAATTGGTGATTTAACAGATATTATACCGAATTCTAGCCCCAATCATAATATTGTAAGTAGGTATCCAAAACGAATTACACATAAACCAAAATGTTATGGTATAGTAGATGAGGATTGTAATTTTATTGATTTTGCTATGTCACTTGTTTTGGATTTTGAACTTGTAACTGTTCCTAGTCCAAGAAAAAATTAATGGGAACTAGCTATTAAAAAAGAGCTAGATGCATTTAAAATTAATAATAGTTGGGAACTAGTTGACATGCCATCTAATACAAAACAAATATTGTTAAAAATAAATGGGTATTCAAAATCAAGAAGTCAAAATAATGACGTA